CCCTTGTTCACAGAGAACATTTCAAAGACGATATGGCAGATGCAGTTAAAATGTACTATCTGATCATTTTATCTCCATTCCGCCTCATTTTAAAAACTGTTTCTGTTAAAAAAAAAGTGAAGGGGAAATACATACATGTGGATTAAGCCTCTGGTAAATCCCTTGACCAGACCAGGTGTGTGAATGGGCTTGCTGTCATGCCAAGTGCATTGGAAAGGGCATTATTGCAGATGCAGGTCGGTTAAACTCTAACACCTTATCATTTGACCTCCCTTTTGACCCATTTAAATTTTTTTCTAGTTTTTAATATTCTCTGCTTTCTTTTCCATTGAAGTTTTAATCTCTTTTACTTTGGTGTTGTATGTTTTCGTGTACATGAAATCCAGGATAAGTAAATTTATAGAGAAAATGACTGGATTAATGGTTTGTGGGGTTTTTTTGGGGGGATATGGCAGGGAGGTTGAGGGGAAATGGGGGGGAGAACAACGATGCGTACAAGGGAGAAGAAAATGCTCTAAAATTGATGGCAGTGATGATTGTACAATTGTTCATAACATGTCTCAACTATTGAATTATATGGCATGTGAATAAAGGCCAATAAAACTGTTAAAGAAAATGAAGAAAGACTGTTGACCACTGCCTCTAAAACATGCAACAGCACACAGGGCAAACAACAAGGGGAGGAGAGAGAGTGGAGCACATCCTGGCCCCCCAAGGCTGGAGGACGATCTTCCTGCTCAGAGCACCCAATACACGGAGAGGACCATAGGGCCGGCCCCACCAAGAGACACGACGTCCCTCATTGACCTATAGCACTAAAGAGGACAACACTGGAGGCAGTGTGGGAATTGTACCCAATCTGACCCCACCACACCAGGGCAAAACACAAAGGGCGTGCCACAGAGCAGCAAGAGGAGCAGAGCAATGAAGTCCCCCGGGAATACCGAAATTAAACTTTGGGCCAGGGTGTGGCACCCCATCAGATTCAGCCAGAAAACACTCCTAAAGGTCAACAAACTGATCTAGAACTATTTATAGGCTTTTCTTTTTTTGTCATTTGTTGTTGTTTTTGTTTTGTTGCTTTGTTTTGCTCTGTCTTGTTTTGTTCTTATTATTCTCTCTGCATGTCTATCTAGTTAAGATAGGCGGGATAAACAATATAAACAACCCAGAGGAGAAAATAATGGGACCAATGGTTCTGGGGGGACATGGGAGAGGGGGAGGTTGGGGGAAAGGTTGGTGGGGGGGTGTTAACCAACCCAGGGACAAGGGAATAATGAGTGGTCTAAAATCAATGGTGAGGAGGGTGCAGGATACCTGGTTGGGCAATGTAGCCGAGAGGAATTACAAAAACCCAAATTAAGGCTGAACATGATAGTGGGACAAAAGGAAAGTAAAGGAAACAGAGGAAAGAATGAGGAGACAAGGGCACTTATAGAGGTCTAAATACAGCCATGTAACTATATAAATATGTGTATATATAACGATAGGGAAATAGAGCTATGTACATATATTTGTTTAGTATTAAGGCAGCAGACGGACACTGGCCTCCATAAAAGTACTCCCTCAACAAAAGAACACTTTGTTCTATTAACCTGGCATTCCATGATGCTCACCTTCCCTGACACGACAGCTAAAGACAAAATGGGTGCATAAGCAAATGTGGTGAAGGAAGCTGATGGTGCCAGGTTATCCAAAGATATAGCATCTGGGGTCTTAAAGTCTTGAACATTAACAAGCGGCCATCTAGCTGAGAAGCAACAAAGTCCACAAGGAAGCACACCAGACTGTGATCATGAGGTGTTGATGGGATCAGGTATCAGGCATCAAAGACCCAGAAAAAAACTCATATTAATGTGAATGAGGGGAAGTGCGGAGTGGAGACCCAAAACCCATCTGTAGACAATTGGACATCCCCTTACAGAAGGGTCACAAAGAAGAGATGAGCCAGTCAGGGTACAGTATAGCACCGATGAAACATACAATTTTCCTCTAGTTCTTTAATGCTTCCTTCCCCCACTATCATGACCCCAATTCTACCTTACAAATCCGGCTAGCCCAGAGCATGTACATAGGTACAGATAAGAGCTGGAAATACAGTGAACCCAGGACAGATAAACCCCTGGGGACCGATATTGAGAGTAGCAATACCAGGAGAGGAAGGGGAAGGTGGGAGAGAAAGGAGGATCAGATCACAATGATCTATGTATAACTCCCTCCCAGGGGGATGGGCAACAAAAAATGGGTGAAGGGAGATATTGGTCAGTGTAAGACATGAAAAAATAATAATTTATAAATTATCAAGGATTCGTGAGGGAGGGGGGGGCAATTAGGAGCTGATACCAAGGACTCAAGTAGAAAGAAAATGTTTTGAAAATGATGATGGCGACATCATGGATGGATGGATTATAAGAGCTGTAAGAGCCCCCAATAAAATGATTTTTTTAAAAAAACAACCACGCAGCAGACCCCAGGCCAACAGTGGCAAACCCGAGACTTCCTCTGGTCCCAATCTGTTTGGTATGCTTGTTGGTGATTTGAAGTTAGAGAGCCCCGGTACTCAACTTGTAGATGTGTAATCTGGAAGGCTAACCGGAAACAGTGGGTAACAGATCCCAGATCCCAAAGGCTCCCAACAGGGTGGAACCCAAGGATGACCATAAAAGGTGCTAACAGGGCTAGCTGTGCCCTAGGAAAACAAAGGGAGGGAAGACAAGGGCAAGGCAGACGTCTTCTGTAAACACACACCAAACGACAAGCATGGGATGTGGCTGTTGCTTTTGTCTCCCAAGGGTTTGTGGTCATTTGCCAAGCACGAAACCCATTACTTGTTTCAAGTGTTCTTTGTACTATTGCTTTAATTATTTTTTTTAATGGCTTTTACACCATTTGTTGACTGGCTTTGTACAAGTGATTCATGCTCCTTGAACTTCTGCTAAGCATCATTCTGCAGGCTATGACTATAGTGATGAACAAAGCATGTCTCTCAGGATGTTTATATGTCATGGAAGAAACTGGGAGGGGGGGTGGAGGTAAAACAGTGATAATGCTCTAAGGAAAGCACCAATGGTAATGTGTTGGAATGTGACTGGAAGCAGCTACCAGCTGGAGATGATCAAGAGACCAAAAGATGCTCATGGGGCTGGAGCACACAGGGACCGGCAGGAATAGAGAGGCCCAAGTCATGGCTGAAGAAGTGGGCCAGAACACGGAGCCTTGGAAGATAAAGAAACCACGGCTTAATTTAGCGGGCGGGATGGGGAGCAATTGCAAGGTCTTCAGGAGAAAAGTCACTCAATGTGACTGAACACTTGAAAGGTTCATTCTGGCCAATGGACGGAGAATGGATTGAGTGGCGGGTGAAGAGGGAAACCAGGGACTCAGGAAGTCAACGCAGAGTCCAAATGAGAAGCCCTGCCGTGGTGACCATTTGTCCTCTTCTCCAGCCCTGATCAACCCGATGTGTGTGTCCATATCTGCCTCAATACCACTCCGCTTAGGACTGGCCATGGCTCTCCCAGGGCTCCAAGAACCCTATCAGTGAGTCAGTTAAGGAACAAGAACGGACGTCCCTGTTTAGCAGTTAGGAGTAATTAGTAGGCAGAACGGGGCCAGACAGTGGGAAGCTATTTGAAGCAATAAGGACACTACAGTTGTTATGAGGACTGAGAGCAAGGCGCAGCATCAACTATTTGTCCCAATCTATTCTAGGTGTCCGCCCTGGGCTTTGGCCCAGAGCCAGGGGTGACACTAGCAGAGCTGGCAGGCACTGCTGGCAGCAGCCTGGAATCCTAGAAGAGGCAATGGGAGGCGCATGGCACTTTGGAGCAGGAAAGTCAGAGTGAAGCAGCCTGGAGAGGAAGTCTACGGGGAGGTCCAGGGTTTATCCTGCCCAAAGGCTCTAGGCTCAAGGTCTTCTATACAAGCAGGGAAGCTGGGCCAGGCCTGGATCCAGGAGGGATGAGGGGACACTGCTAGGAGGCCCAGAAAGCTCTCAGCCACTAGCCACCCTTCTACCCATCAGGCAAGGCCAGTTAGTAAAAGGCAAGTTGGCAAACTGAGCAGGGATGAGACTGCTCACCTTCACCCCGTTTGTCAATTCCCTCTCCCACTCCTGGACTACCGCCCTAGCTAAGGGGCTCCAGTCTCCCCCTTGGGTTAGGGATCACAGAGCGGCCTACTTAACCCTTCTCCAAGTTCTGCCCCTCATCTACTCCCCTCACTGCATCCGTGTGATGCTCCCAGTAACTCCCCATTCCCCTTGGGACAGAATTCAAGTTCCACACCTGGCCTCCAAAGTTCGCCTCGATCTACCTCCCCGTGCCCTCACCCCCTCGCTTCTCCTCCTGCACCTCCCATGCCTCCCTTGCGCCAAACTCACACTAGCCGTTGGGTACACTGGGCCTTCTCCCTGGGATAGTCCTGTTCCCCATGTCCGCCTCGGGAAGCCAGGTGAATTGGTCCTACTCCTTCTGGAAGTCTCCCTGACCCATGGCGTCCTTGGGCATCTGGAACAGTCCTCTCTAGCAAATGGCCTTGTTTCCCGGCTGCTCCCACAGGCCTGCAGGCTCCTCCCCAACAGCCCAGGCTCAGCTCTCCAGGTGCCTGCTTACCTGGATGTCAACTCTAAGGGCAAGGACGTAGCAACAGGGTCCCTAAAGTCCAGTGTGCTAACGAAGGCAGACCTCCTCCACAGACGCCCACCCCCTAGGGCAGATTGGGGAGCAAAGAACCCACACACTTCAGGGGCTTAGAGGGAGGAGCGGCCCTTTCAGTGGGAGAGTGTGCGAGGACCAGAGAAGTAGGGCCGTATCTAAGTGGGAGCTGGCACGTTCTACTATGATGTTGGTGGCTGCAACACCCACTCCGAGAAGATGAGGTCCCTCCTGGGGTTTGGGGGGCAAGAGAGTGACATGGCTGGAGCTGGAGTTCCGCAGACCACACCAGCCACATCCCCGGCAGGTTCCCACCCTGGTGCCCCAGAAATGATGGCCAGAAAATACACTGATCAACAACAGTTTCTTCTCGTTGGCGGGCCTCTGTCCATGTCGTACCCACTGGCCACCACACGGGGGAGCTCGGACAGAGAGAGGGGACCAGACTCAGGGGATCTCTGGCTCGCTTCAGGGGGCTTGTGGGGCAGGGGACTGGGGTCGTTTCGGCCTCCAGGCCGGCCCTGTCCTTGGGAAGGGGCCAGAGCTGTGCCCACTAGGCTAGGCCTCAGGTCGTCCAGCACCGGGGAAGCTGGCAGGCTCGGTCAACAAGACGTCCACTTGTCCTGCGGCCGCAACTGCTCCACCTCGAGCATGAACCGCAGACACAGCTCCTCCTGCCAGGGCAGAGCCACGCACTGCACTGCCACGGGCAGCCCCACGCTGTTCTTCATTCCCTGCAAGGCACGCTATCAGGACGAGAGGACCCCCACCCCAGGCCCACAACATGCCCAGCCGTGGAGGAGGGGTGGAAGAGCAGGGTCCAGCCAGCCATAGGGGGCTGGCTTTCAGCAGGGCTGGGGGATTGCGCCTGCTGACAGCTGCCCCACAGTGGCTCCCAGCGGGAGTGTGCTCTGCGGGGGCAGGGGAAAGGGGGTGGGGCCTGGGCCAGGTCTCTTGGCCTCACCTTCCGAAATATCCAGTCCCAGATATCCCCAAAGTGGCCTGGGTACTGTTGCATCTGGGCCTCGTCCTCAGCAGTCACCCTGGTGACAGGCACCACCCCGGCAGGGAAGTCCAGGCAGTTGTAGAGCGCAGTGTAGCTGATGGCCCCTGGAAGGTGCCACAAGGGGCTAGAGCAGGCCAAGCAGCTGTGGGGCCACCTGTCCTCTCTGGGCCT